ATCACAAACACTTGTTGGCTTATCCACAAACTCTCATTTAGGTTTGGAGGGGGAAGAGGATCTGGTCCTGCGAGTCCGCAATTTGATAATCGATGCATCATTGCAATGCCCATCAAAGCTGGCTGTGATACGCTTCAAATGCAGAAATATCTTTCTTCAGCCCTTTTTGATGACATTGAAAGTAAGATACAAAGTAACGGCTCACACACACACACACACCGCACGCACACTGTTAAGCGCGATACACAAACACTGTAATGTCTCTAATTCACGTAACCGGCGTAAACGACTACGTAAGACGTTTTGGGCGTAATAATGGCATTTACATGCCGCTTAGCGCACAACGACGTAAAGTAAATAACGTAACACATAAGCGGCTTTCGTGTGTATACATGTGCGTGATAGTGTATCTGTGTTTGCCGCTCTGCTGCTGCTGCGAGTGTGTGAGTGTGAGTTGCTTGTATCCTTGTTGTATCCTGTAGTTTTCCTATTTCCGGCCTTTCGCATAATTCTTCTGAGTGGGGCGGTTGCCGAGGTAACTGGAACTGAACTCAACTGAGCTAGAGGATTAAATTAGTCTCAAAGTGTTCAATGTGTGTCTGTGTGTGAGAGTTGACGCTATGTGTATGTATGGGTGCGCGTGTCCTTTTTGCGCGCCTTGCGCAGCGTTATCCTTCCCAGTCCGGCGCTTCCTTACGTTTCATTTTTTTGTGTATCCTTCCCTTTATTTCTGTAGGTTAAGTAGCCGAAATACGTAAGCTGCATGTGTTGCATATATGTATGCTTGGACATCGCAGGACCTGCATATATATGTATGAGTGAGTGCATTTACATACACCGGCGTCGACGGCAACGGCAACGTCTGCGTCTACGTCGACGTTGACTGCGACCACCGCCCTCTGCCGCAGCTGAAGCGTCGTCGTCTGCCATCCAGTCTAACTGTGCTTCCCGCTGTCTGTCTGTCCGTCCGTCCGTCCTTCCTCCTTTCCGCTGTCTGTGGTGGTGCCAGTGTGTGCGTGTGTGAGTGAGGCGAGTTCACCCTTAACATGCCCTTCCCAGGATCAGGCGGCGGCAGTAGCAATAACAACCACCACCATTCCACCGAAAGCCGCACCGAAAAAGGACGAATATTTCGAAATTGAATTTGAGTAGCTCCCGCCATCGCCTTCGGGCATATTGGTTATTACACACATTTTGAGACGTTCAAGGGGAAGTGTTAATTTTTAACCCCATCCATGACAAATGCGGATTCTTTAACTCGGAAAACTGCTGCTCACTGAGTTCCTACGCACACTAAAAAAAATATATGTTAAATGCAATTATAATACCATCCTCGATTTACATCAATGAATTCCTTGTTTCCTTCACTATTAATACAAATTCTGATTTAAAGTTTTAGTGTGTAAATGAATGTCATACATTTTAGCAAAGATTGATAGAAGTATGATCGTTTAACTAAAGTTCAGCTTATTAAGTTAATGTTAAAGAACTTCAAGTTAGGAAAAATAATACCTTTATAAAAGGAATTTTGGGTTAAGAAAGTTAAAAATTTGTAGCTAACATCAGCTAAGAAAGTTTGTTCGTCAAAGGGGATATCAATTCCTCAATATTGGGTTTAAATTTGGTTAAATTGGAAACTAGAAAGTTTCTTGTAGTGAATAGATTGTACTATTAAGTTAAAATTAAATGTTAAACCCTAACCAAAGATTGAGCTAGCGAAATGGTATGAGATCGGAAATAATGTCTGTTTTACCAACATAACGTGACTGAAGCCTATGCCAAAGTATTAAAGAAAAATATTTACTCCAAGAGCAAGGAACAGATGGAAGTCCCTATTGAAGGATCTCATTTATGTGGATAATATACATTATTTTTGTACACATTTTTCCCCTGTGTAGGGTGTTTCCCGGTCGGCTGATTGATTTGTGGCCAGTTTGGCCTTAGTTTGTTGTTGCCGCTCCTTCGGCTGCGTCTGCTGCAGTTTTTGCAGTCGAATAGTACAATACACATAAATATGTGCGGAAAGTAAGCGGCGACGTCGACCATCCCTTATGCTCCTCTCTTCCGCACACACACACACACACACACACACACACACACTGTAGCTCTTTCTCTTTTTTCCTCTTCCTGTTGGCACTCTTTCTCTACACGCCATCTGCTGTGCCTGTGCCTGTGGCAGTGTGTGTGTATTACTACTTGTACAATCGCAGACGGACTTGGGCTTGCCGCCCACCCTTTTTCTACTACTCCTCTTCCTTGTCCTTCTCCTCGTCCTCGTCCTCGTCCTTTTCCTATTCTTTTCCTTTTCCATTTCCATTTCTCTGTGCCTTTCGGTCGTCATCATCGTCATCATCCTTGAGCACAAACGCGCACTCAAACTCATCCTCTTGTCCTGGGGTTTTTGGTCCTGGCGCTAGTCGGCGTTTGTCGTGTGTATACCGAAATACGTAAAATTCATTTATGGCCAGGGCTGATTGTTGTTGTTCTGCCACTCCTGCCGCTACCGCTCCTTTAACTCCTTTTGCTTTGGGCCTGCTTCAGGGCGACGGCCGCTGTCGATGTCTTCACCTTCAGTAGCAGCATATCCTTAATTTATCTTTTTTTTTTGGGTGCTCCGCCCAACGGCAAGATGATGCACTTCCAGGGTGCTCCGCTGGACAGTGTTCCTGGTCCTGGTCCTCTCGACACTAAGTGGCGGCGTATCCTGGAGCATCCGGCTGCCTCGAATGTATCCTGTAGATACGCACTTCGCTGATGGCTTGAATGTGTAGCCGCTTTTCACATCCGCTCCTCGCATCCTGCGATGCCTTTTGCGCAGTTAGTAAATGGCCGCTAAACAATGACGGCGAAAACGTACGTAGTTGCGTGGAAATTTTCACCGCTTCGCTTTCACTGACTTTTCACCGCTTTCCCAGCGACATTTGAATGCACACTCGGCGGCGACGGGCGGCCGGTTCAATTTTTTTGCATTCTCATTTATTTATTTATTGTGCATTTTATCAATTCGATTAGCAATAATTTATTAACCGGTTTTTCTCGTGACGTTTTCGCCTTTTTACAACCACACACAGAGCGGAGAACAGAGAACTGCTGCGACGTTTGCTTTTCGGCATCAGCCTTTCGTTCGTTCTCGATGGCGTTTCGGGTTCACGCTCGTGCTCTCCTTCGTGTCCTTGCGAGTGTGTGTATCTGTGTGCGTGCGCGACTGCGTGAGTGTGAGATTTGGGCAGGACTTCGGGGCCGCCTTCAGACCGGGCTGCGGTGTAGTTTTCAATTACAACAACGGCCCGATGGATGAGCGCGCGAAAAAAGGGCAAAAGGCGCGCCCCCAACCGCCGACCGCCGAAAATACACAAAATGTATTCCGTTCGCGTTTCTCTCACCATTTCACTTTCGACTTACTTTCAGCTCTGCGCCGCCGCCGGGAGAAAACTGTCTCTTATTTTCTCCGAGCTACACACGAGTCCTGCAGGGATGTTCCACGGGAGAGCAGAGTCAGAGAGCTGAAGAGAGAGTTAGAGCGTAAGTCCTGTGTGTGAGCTGTACCTCAGTATCAGAGTATCTCAGCTAAATTAAAATTCCTGTCAGGAAATCCTTTTTCCAGTGTATCCCCTCGGGTTTTTAACTCTCCCTTGGGCTTGTCGTATTTTTGGCTTGCTTCGGCATGTGTCATTGAACTTGCCACCAAAACCAGGATCAAATGATCGCAACCCCATAAATTAAGCCTTAGTATTATATAAAAACAGTTAGCTGCATAACAAATGCACGCTTACCTCCATCTTTGCTCTCCTTAAGGACCAAGGCCGAAAAGTAGGCAACACTTTTGTATGCAACTAAATGCTATGTAGCATTGTACTTGCATAGCATTCTGTTTGAGCCAATTTTTTAATGTTTACTTGATACTTAAAGGATAAACATAATTAAGAAGTTGTATATCTTCTTAAGCCCGAAAAGAATATCAGTATTTTGAATGTGGTGGTTTCTTTATTCATTCATTAATTCTTGTACAATAAAAAAATGTTCAACAGCGAAAAATATTACACGAATTTCGTTAAATGTAAACAAATTGAATAAATATTTTACGAGTTACACTGTGCATTGTTAATTCTGATTGATATCCGGGGCTGAGAGAGGCTCGTGTGCCCAAAACCGATCCCTTCCCATGGATGGATATGATGGATATTGTGCGTTGCGGAAATGGGTTTCTGGTGCGGGTTCGGATTCGGATTCGGGTTTCGGTTAAAACAATTAACAAGATCCGGAACCGCTTCAAGGTGAAAGTGGTGCGCTGGCTTACAACTGATCGCGGGTAACCGAGTTATCTGAGCTCGAGGGCTCATTGAAAAGGTCTGGCAAGTTAAAACTAAAAACGAGATACATATATTGTTCCTTCTTTTTGATCCTTTTGAGGGCTGGGGCGCCCGTCCATGGTCATTGCATTTGGGGGGCAATGGGTGTCTGTGAGGGATGTGTGAATGCGTGCATGATTGTTGGTATTGAGATACATTCGTGGTACGTTATATGTATGCGCGGGTGTGTATAAATAATGTAAGAACGTCTGTGGAAAATCGAAAGTGCAACCGGGGCGTATTATCTTACAACATACTGCTCTACACGTACATACATTAGTCGATATCAATATGTTTAACATGGGCTTAACACGTATTGCAACAGGGCCAATTTCCAAAGTGCTAATATTTAATTTGTAAGTCGATCAGCGATGCGATGCGATACAATACGATACGATACGATACGATAATGGTTCGTGAGTCTTATCTACTAGGGATTCAAATGGTGTGCTGGGAGAATGCTAGGCCTACCAACTAACCAATGTTCATGTGGGGGTCTCAGGTAATTACAATTACATTAACGATTAAGTGGTATAATAAATAACTATAATTAGCATACACATAGATCCGGTGCTCCGCTCTATGTCATGTGTAATCAAATGCATAATCGTCTTTCCGGGATGCTCGGGCGGCACCCGCTGCTCCTTGGGATCACTCGGCGTTCTTGATCTCGCTGAGGCTGCGGCAGGCTTCTCGCTCCCGTTCCCGTTCCCTCTCTCGTTCCCGCTCCCGCTGCTCCTCCTCCAGCTTCAGGACCTTGCTCTTTAGCCCGCAGAGTATCTCTGCCGTGGCTATGTTCTTGATGGTGCTCAGGTCCAGATGGGGGCTATGATTGTTGTTGTTGTCGTCGCTGTTGCAGTTGTTGCCGCCGTGATCCGACTCCGCCGGCGACTGCTCCTGCTCCTGTTGCTGCTGCTGCTGCTGCTGCTCCAGACTCCGATTGATCGCACTGAGCAACTTGTGCTTGCCCAGAGCCAAGGCCAGGCCATTGCTGGCATCAACGTCGCTGCCCGGCTTGCTGTTGTTGTTGTTCGAGTCCGTTTCCATGTCCGTGTCCATGCCGCGATTGTTATTGTTGTCGTCATACTTCCTCTCGTACCCGGCCAGCTCCTCGTCATGCCCATTGTTATTCTCCGCCGGCAGATCGAGCTCCACTTCGCGCTTGATCAGCTGAATGTCCGGCGTCGGAGTGGGCGTTGCGGGTGTGGGCGTGGCAGTGGGTGTGGGTGTAGCAGTGGGACTTTGGGGGCGGGCCCGGCTGCCATTGGCATTGGGGGTCTGCACCAGATTAAGTGCCTCCTCGTCGTCGTCATCGTTGTTATTGCTGCTGCCGCTGTTGTGGCCACCAGAATGCGGACTGCTGCCGCTGGCACTGCCTCCGTTGTTCGAGTTGCTGTTGGCGTTGCTGTTGGTCAGGTGATGGCTCTCCACCAGGCGGATCTTGAAGCTGTTGTTGTGCGTGGACATTGGCGGCGGTGGCGGCGTCTGCGGCACAATCGTTGTGATAATCGGCTCCATAATGTTGTCCTGGGCGTGGCTGTGGTTGTTGTTCAGGGCGTCGTCGTTCTGCTCGGCACTCGGATATCGCTCTCGCTCCATCTCCTTCATCCGCTTCTCGCCGCCCAGATCCGTGTTGTAGTGCATCAGGATCTTGCGCTTGGCCAGATACTTGTGCTGCTTGCGGGCCGAGTCCAGCATCTTCTTGCTGTTCGCCTGCAGGATGGCGAACGAGTTGCTCTCCGCCTCCGACAGGTTGAGTCCGTTTGTATTGCTTCCTAGATGATTGTAGTTGTTGCTGCTGCTGTTGTTGTTGTTGTTCCTGTTGAGATTCTTCATGAAGGTCTCGGCCAGTGTGGCCTTCGACTTGATGTGGTCACGGAATCCGGCATAGTTGCCGCTACCGCCTCCGCTGGACAGAGGAGTTGGGCATCGATTGGGCCCGTTGAGGGAAGGCGACGGCGAGGGCTGTGGCGGAGGTGGTCCGCCTGCATAGCCAGCGGCATGTCCACTGGTGATGTTGACGCTGTGCGTTCCGCGCTCATAGCGACACTCGGTGCCATCGCTCTCGTGCGGCGAACTAATGTCGCTGGCATCGCTGTCCAGGTTCTTCTGCAAATGGAAGTCAAGGTGGGATTCAGTAAGGGATATAATTTATTATTTAAACAAGATAGCAGAGCTACAAGTTGTCCTGCGATCACCTACCTCTGTGTGCAGCCCCTTGATCTTCATGGCCTCGGCCACCTTGAGGAAGACGGGCAGATCCTCGTACTTGACGTTCACCTGGCCGCTGTACATAAAGTCCAGCAGGCCGGCCATGTGGCTGGCCTCCACATCGGCCATCAGCAGGATCGGATGACTCGATGGATTCTCCAGGAATATCTGCTGGAAGTAGGGACTGCAGACGGACAGAACCTGTAACGATAAGGAAAAGAGAAGAAAGCGCTTGGCATGAGTAAGGGAGTTCTCGGCGGTGATCCGCTAGTTTACCAGTTTGTGGGCCTTGAATATCTTGCCACCGGCTGCTATGGTCACGTCCACCATCTTCTCGTCCTTCTGCAGGGAGTGGAAGCCGCGGCACATGTTGCCGTGGAAGTTGTTCCACGACAGCAGGTACTGGTCGATCGTGTTGGGGTCGGTGTAGGGCTGCTGTTGCTTGTGGGGCTGCTGCTGGTGCTGCTGGTGAAGCTGCTGCTGGGCGGCCTGGTGCTGGGTGGCCGTGATGTGGATCTGTTGCGCCGTTGTGGGCGGAGAGCTGGGGCGCGGCGTGGGCGGTTGGTGGGGATGAGCGAGCTGATGATGATGCTGCTGTTGCTGTTGCTGTTGCTGCTGCTGTTGCTGCTGTTGCTGTTGCTGTTGCTGCTGCTGTTGTTGCAAATGCTGCTGCAAGTGTTGCTGCTGCTGGAGCATGTGCTGTTGCTGCTGTTGGAGGGCATGCTGCAAGCCCGGCGGCGTCGACGAGGACGAAAGACGGTGCGGATGCGAATGCGGATGCGGCGAGAGAGCCGGCTGGTGGCCCAAGAAGCGCTGCTGGTGCTGCTGGGCCTGTTGGTGCTGCTGCTGCTGCTGTTGCTGCTGCTGGCGCGCATGCTGCTTGATCTTGACCATATTCTCCTGCTGCTCCTGGCGCAACAGTTCCTGCTTGATCTTGTACTGCTGCATGGACAGATCATCCACGCTCTTGGACAGCTTGCCCATGTCGCTGTTGCTGTTGAACTTGCTGTTGGACAGCATCGGCTTCAGATCGTACTTGTAGTCACCGCTGCCTCCGCTGGCGGCGGCGGCTAGCTTCCGTTCTGCGGCCAAAGCGGCACGCTCCTTCTGCCTGCGGATCAGCTCGTCCATGTCCATGTAGGCGCCGCTGGTGGCTGCTGCGATGGCCGAGGCAATGATTGGATCATCCTCGAAGACACTGTCGTCAAGGGTCTCCTTGAGAGTCTTTGTGGACGAAAAGAGACGCAGCGAGGGATCGTTCACCTGGTCGCTGAAATACACATCCATCAGGGTGAAGAAGGGCCACTCGCGCCTCTTGGGCTCCTCGGACATCTTGATTGCCTTGTACTCCTGCAGCAGGTTGTTCCACTTTTTGATGATCTTTGACAGCGGCAACGGCACATTGAGCTCCCGCTCCACCACGCTGTAGAGTAGATATCGAGGGTAAGGGTTATGCAAATCGACAAGGGAATCGTTACTTACGCCCAGGCATATTTGGAGGCATTCCTTTTGCCCGTGAAAAGCGGCGACAGTTCCGCCCGGAGTCTGATCAGAGATTTGACTTTTTCCGCCTCCCCTGCAAAGGAAACAAGATGAAAGGAGGGATGTGAGTAAGAGGGCGTTGGGTAAGAATGGTTAGATGGCCGGGGCATTGATCCCAGCTGAGAGGCGGCCACTTTCCTTCAACTACCAAATGCGATTCAAGTTTAAGACCTCTGGCCATAACGGCATCGAATTATAGAAAACTGCAGCGGGTTTCAATGAACCCGAGAGTCTGGAGTAATCACTGCAATCATCTGACAGCGGATCGGCATCGATGGCTCGATGGCTCCATGGCTGTTCGGCCATTTGCGACTGCATCTGTGTCTGCCTGCCTGCCTGCTTGGTTAATTGCTATAACGAATCTAGCCACTTTTACTTAGCCCCCAAAAGACCAAAAATCGAAGCGGGAGCCAAAGCCACTGCCAAAAACGAGGCAGCCACCGCTCTTGGCTGGAAGCCACATACCCCTGTTCCTGCCCCTGCCCCTGCCCCATGTCCCATGTCCATTTCCAGTTGCAGTTGCAGATGCGCAGCACCGACAAGTGATCGCTGGAATGGCTGCCTCTGCTGGTTACATGGCCAGCACAAACACATCAAGTATACGCCACATACAACGCCAGTACGTACATATACTCAACGCTGGCCATAATGACTGAAAACTATTCAACGTTGAAGAATTCATTAGCAGATTTCACTTTCGCTCATGACGAAGCCGTTCGCGTTTGCGTTTGCGTTCGCCTTCGCTTATTTCTCCTCCATCGTCTTTCTTTATTTATTTACCGTAATTTCTACTCGTTCACTTTTTTAGCTTTCGGCTTTCAAGTGTTCGTCGTCTCTCGGGCTTTTGGTACTCGGGTATGGTACTCTTGGTATTTCTTTGAACGTTTCTTGACTTTGGCTGCGACGGCTTTGGATTTCTGGTTTGCCACTGCGTCCAAGAAGTCGCGCAGGCGCTTGGTGCCTTTGGTGGCCGTGGGCTCTCGACTTGATTTTCCCCCAGAGAAAATTGTTTGGTCTGCGAAGCCGGATCTAAGGAAAAGCTCGCTCGATGGCGGCTGCTTTGATTTTGGCTGCTGGGAGCAGCATCCACAAAAGTTTCGACTCTCGATTCTGTTGACTGCACGGAGGGAAAAAACTTGAATTCCAGTGATTACAACGAAAGACTACTGAGAATATAGTTTAACAACTTATTAAATTAACTTATTCTAGTTTAAGAGTTAATTAAAAGTTCGTTCTTTTAATTTTACAAATCTTATATTTATTCAATTTCAGGGTTTATAATTTCAGTGAGAAACTTGCTATGATGTGAAGGAGTCATTTGCGACCCTATAAATCATATATATTCTTGATCAGAATCATTAGCCGAATCGATTAAGCCAGGTCCGGGCAAAATCTAAGATTTCGAAAATTTTTCGAAAATTTGAAAAAATGATAAGGGGTTAGTTACATCATTAAAATTGTCAAAAATTGGCCAAAAATTCAATTTTCTAAAATTTTAAATTGAGTATGCAGTTTTATTAACCTCATAAAAACTAGCATAGGAAAGCTTTCCGAATTGAAATTAATTCATTTTTGCCTGAGTTATGAGAATTTTAAACTTTGAGTTTTCGAAAAAATGTTTAATTTTTAATTTTTAATTATTTAAAAATAATCTATTTAAACAATGAGAATATTTTAATCTTAGCTATGACTGATTCCGGATTTGATCTTTTATTTTATTTTGAAACTTCAAGGGTAGATAAACTCCGGCTTCTTAAAGTTAGTTTCGTATGGGGTTTATTCTAATATCTGAGGATATATTCCATCTAAGCAATAGCTTTACTATTTCTGCGATATGCTTAAACCCTCTAATATTAGGAAAATCAAAGGGAAACCTATTGAACTTATTCCAAGTGCATTGACTTTAACTTTAACTATATTTCTCTCGATACGATGGCAAGAATGCCCTCTTGTCCGTGCTATGCATTTCGGTACTTTCTAATTTTTTGTTCGGAGTCGAACCTCTGGTGGTCGCCCGGGGTGTGCATTCATGAAACTCTATTAGTCAGTCGCTGGTTTGGTCTATGTCAAGGCAAGGGCCTTAGATCGCCATCGGTGGCTGTGGCTGATGGTTGAGCAATTCCCAAGCCCCCATTCGATTCGTTTAATGGTTTAGCAGCAGCACCAGTGCCTCGCAATAACCTAGCCCAACCCAACTCGTTCGTTAAAAAATCTCCGAGTCAGAGACGAAAAACGGCGTAAAAAAAGATTTCTGGCAAATACTCGTAAATAAACATAACAAGTTGAAAAATTCGCAGGCGTTCGCTGCTTGCAAAACAACCTCAACCTTCTGCGCTGCTCTACGCGCTTGATCGTGACACGCTCAAGTTCCACGATCCACCGCTCCCACCGCCATTCCCCCCTCACAATGGGTCTCCCCTGTTTCCCCATGGAGGGGCGAAAGGGGCAAGGGGCACAGTGCTTATGGCTCACAAAAAAGTTTCACTTTCTTTGCAGCAAGTTTTGTGCGTTGCCCCGAGTGTGTGTGTGCTACTCCAGAGACAGAGACACACACTTATATGGCCTTTGGGGGCTTACTTCTCGCTTCTCTCTCTCTCGGTTTCTACTTTCCGTTTGCGCCCTTTTATGTAACCCAAATCCTCGGATGCTGCTGCTGATGCTGATGCTGTGGTCGCTTCTTGTCTCAGACAAGGCAATCCAATTCGCTTGCCAGCACCAGTCAAGCGGCAGCTGAAGCAGCTGAAGCATCTGTAGCTGAAGCGAAGAAACAACGTTTACCGTTAGTTTCTCTTTTGGCCTATATTTGGCCCAAAGCCAAAGCCAAGACGAAGAGTCAAAGCCGAGGCTACGAGCCGAGTCTTCTCGCCCGCCGTTGGTTCTTTATCTGCCGCTCTCCATCACTATTACCATCACCATCGCCAGCATTTCCATCGTCGTCTTTGTTGGCTGTGCCTTCAAGTACTTCCGTTTGGAGCACTTTCGTGGGCCGAGAACCGGTTCTGTTACTCGGAAATGCAGGCCTATCGCATCCAGAGATACTCTATATATTGCTTATAGACTTGATTTTGAACAGGTAAAATAGCTGTTTGAGTTTGAGAGAAGAGTATTCCCAATATGTAAAATATCAAGAAGGAATGAAAAGCCTTGCAGTTTGATCATTCATAACGAAGCCAAAAATGCATTAAATTCAATTCGGAAATCGGTCCAATGCTAATTTTTATTAGCTTAACAAATCTGCATACTCAATTCAACATTTCCAAGAATTCAATTTTATGTCAATTTTTAACAATTTTAATGATGTAACCCCTTATCGTTTTTTCAAAAAATCGAAAAAATTTCAAAATTTTATTTTTTGTCCGGATATGGCTTAATCGACGCGGCTATTGATGCTGATCAAGAATATATATGATTTATAGGGTCGGAAATGATTACTTCACAAAATATTTAAAACAAAATCGATTTTTTGCCAATTTTTGACATAAGGGATAAGTTTATCATAATTTTTCTTTTTTACCCATTTCTTTAGTACATTTTATTCTTAAGTTATTTAATTCTTTATAAATTATAAAATGCAAAGTCATTTAAATAAGATTAAAAATCAAATTTAAGTTCTATAATAATATGTTATAATAGGTTATTTAATAATATTAGTGATCCAAAGAAATTTAAAAGTAACAAAATAATGGTGTTATTACTTTTTAGTTGAAATTATTGGCGAATTCAGAACCTAGACATTCTTTTCAGTGTACCATTTGTATGGGTCTTAAGTCTTTTGTTTTCTTTTTGGGGGGTATCTTTAGGTTTCTTTCGATTTCGGGCATGTTTGGAGGTCCAATCACGTTGCCTTTATAATTGGCTGCCACTTCGAACTGGGATTTTTATTGCCACGGACTATGGCTACTTAGAATGGCCATTCGCGTGTCCGTCTGTCCGGATAGTTGGTAAGCTTCTTTTGGGCCGGTTCCATTGTGCGGAGCCGCGTTCGCTTCGTTTCGCTTGCTTTCTTTTTGCCACGCTTATTTGGCTTCCTGCACTTTTCTTTTTCTTTCACCAAACCAGGCAAGCCACTTCGACAACGACACAACGACTACTACGACTACTATGACTACGGGGCACCACCGTCACCGGCTCAGAAGAAAGAAATGTGAAGGCGATGGTAAAGTTTTCTTCTTGCCTAATTCTTTGTTTGTTTGATTAAACGTGGAATTGTTAACCGTGACGTTTCGTTTTTTTATATTTCTTCTCCCCAACAATCTACTCTTTGCGTGAGAATTTCTAATTGGGTCAGGATTTGGATACTTCTCTCTCCATTCTCCATTCTCTATTCTCCACTCTCTGCTTATTCGCTATTCTATATTCTCTGAGCTCCAGCCGATGCAATCCGGAATTAATGAAGCATTTGACGTGCCCTACTCCCGATAGCCACACTGAAAGTGATAGGACCGAAGAATGGAACTGGATGGGATTAATGGTATGGCATTCTACACCAGATCGATCTGCGATAAGGTCTGTCGTGCGACACTGATTGATTGCTGGAATTGAATTGACCTGATACGATGATCCTATTCAGATGCCAGATGCCAAACAGAGTACAGATTCCATTTTGAGCCTTTTGAAATTAGCTTGGCTTTCGCTGATCCATTGTGATGTTCCTCACCCTGAACTCTGAAAATGGCAGGCACTTGAGAAATGCATATACCATTTTTCCACTCCAAAGATGAGATGCCACGGCGAATGCAAAGAATTCGCATGAGACTGAACTTGGGCAAAAGCCGCTGTAACCAGACTCCCAATTCGAATCTGCGACTCCGATGAAATTGTAGCCGACCATGATGCGGATTTTCATCGGTTGCTCTTGCTGCTGCTATTTGCTGTTGCAGTTCGGGTTTCTTCTGGGGGTCTGCATTTCTTTTGGTGTTTTCACTCTGCACGCCATGACCACAGCGACTAGCGGCGATAATGCGCATACGCCCCGTGTGCCAGGCACACTTACCGTGTAAGTCATCGACCAGCAGCGAGTGGCATTTAATTCTT